GATAGATAGATAGATAGATAGATAGATAGATAGATAGATAGATAGATAGATAGATAGATAGATGTGGGGGAGAAAGGGAGAGAGAGAGAGGGAGAGGCACATAGGTAGGTAGATATAGATAATGATAGAAATAGATAATCAGATATAAGAACAGAGAGAAAAAGGGACACACAGGCTGAGATAGATAGATAGATAGATAGATAGATAGATAGATAGATAGATAGATAGATAGATAGATAGATGATAGATAGATGATATAGATAAGTAGGTAGATTAGATAGAGGTAGGTAGGTAGGAAGGTAGACAGACAGACAGACAGAGACATAGAGAGGGGGGGCGTAGGTAGGTAGATATAGATAATGATAGAAATAGATGATAGGCCTAGAGAGAGAGAAAAAAGGGACAGACATAGGCAGAGAGACAGACAGACAGAGAAGAGAGAGGAAGGAAGATGGGTAGGTAGGTAAGTAGATATAGATATACTATATATAGTAAGACAGAAATAGGCAGATAGAGAGAAAATGAGACAGACATAGCTTGATAGGTAAGGGTGTGTGTGTGTGTGAGAGAGAGAGACAGACAGACAGACAAATGGACAGACCCTCATTACTCACTGTAGGATTTTGCACCGGCTGTGTCGGCTCCGTTCTCGCTGGCAACAGTCTAGGTAGCTGATGCAGATCTCCTGCGTGGACAAAAACCGCAATTGCACCGACTGACGGCAAAGCTACCAAAGGAGCAACTGCCAAGGCAGCCGGGGAGGGACAAACGGGGCGGGAAGGGGAAGCGTGGGAATTCCACCCGTGCTCTGTCGACCTGTCTCACCTCCCCCTGGTGGATGTCTTCCACTGCAGTCAAATGCAGGACGAAATTGTTATCCGGGAAGGAGGCCTCGGCATTGGGAAGACAGCTGTGGTTGCCTGCAAGGAGGAGCAGAGAAAGCTGACGTCCGGATCAGCGGACCGGTTCCGGGGGGGGTGGGGGGGGCAGCGGAGACCCCGGGGTCACGAGATCCGCTTTGCGGTACTCACAGCAACTCTGGAGGACGTAGAGTCCGGAGCCTTCGCAGTTCAGGAAGTCCCCAGTCTCTAAAGCCAAAGAGACCGAGACGGACGGTAAGAGAAGGTGGACGCTGAGCGAGGATCGTGAGGCTGAATGGGGCTGGAAGGGGCGTGGAATCGCCAGGCTCAAAAGCCCACCCGGAGACCCTCAAGAGGAGATCGAGAACTACAGAGAGCAGTTCGACCTACGACCGGTCACTTAGCGACCCTCCCAAGTTATGACAGATTCCCCACCCCCACCACAAAGGTACTTAAAAGCCCAGTTCCAAAGTTCTGACCGCTTGCCCCCCCTCCCCCTTCATGTGGTTGTGTAACCACATTTGGGGGTGCTGAACAAGTGTCCCGTGTTCATGGCCGCCCCTGGGAATTAGGGAATTTATCTGCACCTCTGAAGGGTGAGGAGGGATGGAGGGCCTTATAGATCCCTTATAGATGTACAGGATGGACTGTTTTGGCCTGGCTGGGAAGGGGAGGGAGGGAGACAGATGGGAGGAGGGATGGAGGGTAGGAGAAAAAAGGAAGGAAGGAAGGAAGGAAGGAAGGAAGGAAGGAAGGAAGGAGAAATTAGGACAGAAGAGAGGGAGGAAGAGAGGGAAGGGAGTGAGAGAGAAAGAAAAGAAGAGGGGGAGGAAGGGAGGAAGGAAAGCAGGGAGAATGAAGGAAGGAAGGAAGGAAGGATGGGAGGAAAGTTGGTGGGGGGTGGATGGAAGGAAAAGAGGAAGGGAGGGAGAGATGGAAGGGGGAGGGTTGGGAGGGTGGATAGAAGGAAAGGGAGAGGGAGGATGGGAGGGAGGATGGATGGATGAATGGAAGGAAAAGAGAGGGAGAGATGGAAGGGGGAGGGTTGGGAGGGTGGATAGAAGGAAAGGGAGAGGGAGGATGGGAGGGAGGATGGATGGATGAATGGAAGGAAAAGAGAGGGAGAGATGGAAGGGGGAGGGTTGGGAGGGTGGATAGAAGGAAAGGGAGAGGGAGGATGGGAGGGAGGATGGATGGATGAATGGAAGGAAAAGAGAGGGAGAGATGGAAGGGAGGGAGGAAGGGAG